AATGAGTTTAACTCTCCCATTAATCCCAATTAATTGAGCTTTTCCACTCCGATGGGATCGCAGGGACACCAGTGGAATATTTTAGGGTGAGTTGGGGTCTTTCTCAGGATCTCACCCCGGCGGGCGCCTCTCGTCTTAACTGGGGCTCTGGTTTTGGGTGAGCTCACAAAAAAGCATCTGACAGCAATAAAGAGCAAAAAACCTCCCGCTGACAAGCCTGGGCTGAAGTCACCGACGGGACGTGGCCAAGACACGCATTGTCCTCGCCGCTGCTGGGACTGATTAGAGCTGCCTGGCAAGTCCCGCCGCTGGGTGAGGGGTCAACCCATTTTTGCCAAAAAACCTCGATCCAGAGCAAAAAAAACAACCCCAAAACAACAAAAAAAACCCCCCACCCCAGCTTTTGTTTTCCAGGCTGGGCTGTGCAGAGGCGATAACACCCAACGGACCCAATTTCTCCTGTTTTACACCTATTTCTTGGAGCATCCTAGATGGGGAGTGAGGTGAGATGGATCCCAAGAGGAAAAACTTGAATTTAATTTATTTTATTTTTATTTTTTCATAGCAAAAGCAAAGCAGGAGAGTCCCTGGCAAACAACAATCAGCTCTGCTGAAAGCTCGTTGTCTCTTCATCGTTCGATATTTATTGTATCATTATTTATTTTCTAGGAGCTTGAAGGGGGGGGCTTGAGCCATCCAAATTCTTCTCGTCAAAATGTCCTTGGCAGTCTGTGAGGCTTAGAAAATGAGGGGGGTGAATGGATGTTCCAGCTGGGCTGCAGCATTTTATAACAAATATATACAAAGAATGTGGGTTTTAAAAAAGATATATATTTATATTTTTTTAATTTTATATTTCTAAAAGAGTTAAATAGAAATAAATATACCAATAAATATATTAAAATACAGCATTAAAACGATTAAAATACATAAAGACATCTAGAAATAGATATTAAAACCCTCTCTTTTGCCCCACTGCAAGCTGCAGAGCCAAGAGTTTGGAGAAGAGCTATTTTTTTCCCTGTTTTCTCCATGTTTCCTGGGGCTCTCCAGGTCTGTTGGAACCATGAGAAGCTGACGACCCCGTTGGTTGGGCGGGTTGGTTGTGGAGCAGAAATTCAGTGAAAATGAGAAATTTTTGTCAGGAAGGGAGAAGAATTTTTTTTATTTTTTATTTTTTTTTACTTGTTGAGAAAACAGAGAAGGAAACACCCTTTTTTATTATTTAAACATTTTTGTCTGTGTCTGCTTTTGCCTTTGGCTCACCAAAGGAAAAGAAAAAGCCAAACAGAACGTGTCTTGCTGGAATTCCTGTGTTGATTAAGAGCTGCCGTTTGTCCCAGAAAAAAAATGGGAGCTGAGAAACTCTTTTTTGGAGCAGGAGGTGCAGGAAAAACCCAGCAGGTTGAACCTTCCATCTCCACCACTGTTTTATACCAGGTCTTTGATCACATCCCACAACGGTGGAGAAAATGGGCATTAGAATGGCTGGATGCATCTCCATCCATCACTTTCCAGCATGGAAAACCAAAGGGAAGCAGGAGGAAAGGGGATATCCCACCTGCTTTTAATACAAAGCATGGGATTTAGGGTATGGGATATCCCTTGTGTTTGAGATCAGAGAATCATAGAATGGTTTGGGTTGGAAGGGCCCTTAAAGATCATCCAGTTCCAACCCCCCTGCCATCAGCAGGGACACCTTCCACTAGACCAGGTTGCTCAAAGCCTCATCCAGCCTGGCCTTCAACACTTCCAGGGAGGGGGCATCCACAACTTCCTTGGGCAACCTGTTCCAGTGTCTGACCACCCTCACAGTGAAGAATTTCTTCCTCATATCTAATCTAAACCTCCCCTCTTTCAGCTTAAACCCATTTCCCCTTGTTTTGTCATTAGTTGCCCTTATGAAAAGTCTCTCCCCAGCTTTCTTGTAGCCCCTTCAGGTATTGGAAGGCCGCTATGAGATCTCCCCAGAGCCTTCTCTTCTCCAGGCTGAACAGCCCCAACTCTTTCAGCCTGTCCTCACAGGAGAGGTGCTCCAGCCCTCTGGAGATGTAGCCACCAAACCCATCCTGGAGCTCAGGTATACCCAGAAGAGATGATGAACATCCAGGGGTGGTCTGCACCACAGAGAACACATGTGAGCTAAATTAAATATCCAGCAAACACAACCTGGGGAATGTTGGCAGTTGACATTTCCCAACCTGGAGATGCTGCTCCTCAATTTGAATTTTTCCAGGGAGTGTCCTTCTCCAGGTGATTTCACGTGGGTATTAAAAAAGAGCATAAATCATCCCGGTGAATCCAGCTAACGAGTTAATTGCTAATGTGAGTCAGAGCCCGCGGTGGAATTGGGCAGATATTCGAGGACATTGTGTTTTGTGTGATGATCTTGTAGAAGCAGAGAGGTGTGACATCCTAATTTCTCTCTATTTAAGGGGTTAAGTCTCAACTGGTGCCTAAAATTGGCTTTCTACATGGGGGAAATGTCCCCCTGGGGTCTCCGTCTGGTTCAGGAGGTTGAAACATTCCCTTTCCTGTGTGACATCACGTGAGCGTGGATAGCTGAACCAGGCTTTGGACCTCCTTGGTGGTGGGGTGGCCAGGTTGTCACCTACCTGGGCTGAAGGGCTGTCAGTGTTGAACTGTGTTGTCAATGTTGCTCGAATGGCCTTGGCTTCTCCTTTAATTTGTCTTTCTCCTCCTTGGTTGAGTCTTCCAGACTCAAGTTGGTGGTGGAGCTTCTTAGTTTGGGTCTCCAAGCTGGGCCTGGTGGTGGAGCTTTTTGGTTGGCATCTCCAGCTAGGCCTTGTGGTAGGGCTTCTTGGTGTTTCAAAGCTGGATCTGGTGGTGGAACTTCTTGGTTGGCATCTGCAAGCTGGGGGTGGTGGTGGCACTTCTTGTTTGGCATCTGCAAGCTGGGGGTGGTGGTGGCACTTCTTGGTTGGCATCTGCAAGCTGGGGCTGGTGGTGGAGTTTCTTGGTTGATAACTGCAAGCTGGGGCTGGTGGTAGAACTTCTTGGTTGATATCTCCAAGCTGGGGCTGGTGGTGGAACTTCTTGGTTAGCATCTGCAAGCTGGGGGTGATGGTGGAATTTCTTGGTTGACGTCTCCAAGCTGGGGCTAGCAGTGGAGCATCTCAGTTGGCTTCTCTGACTTGAGATGCATGGACAAGGATGGGTGGCATGGCTGGGTAGGTGTTTTCCAGGTGAAGAACACTCCTGAATGGTTTTATTTCCTTCCTCCTCACAGCTGATAGTCGAAAAAACGACTGACTACCCTTCGGCTGAGTACTCCCTGGTGGAGGATGTAGCCCTCCACTTCACGTGTTTGATGGACAGACTGAACGAGCAGCGCCTCTTTCAGCCGGACCTGTGCGACGTGGACATCGTGCTGGTGCAGCACAAGAGCATCTTCCCGGCGCACAAGGGGGTCCTGGCAGCCTACAGCCAGTTCTTCCACTCCCTCTTCACCCAAAACAAGCAGTTGCAGCGTGTGGAACTCTCACTGGAAGCCCTCACTTCACAAGGTCTTCAGCAGATCCTCAACTTCATCTACACCTCCAAGCTCCTCGTCAACTCCTGTAATGTGCAGGACGTGCTGAACGCGGCCGCCGTGCTGCAGATGAACAACATCGCTTCCTCCTGCCAGGATCTTCTCGACACCCGCTCACTCAGCCTGGCCACTGACATGGCCCTGCCTGCCGAGAGCTGTGCTGGACCTCCACCCTACTACTGTGAGATCAAGCAAGAGGTGGACCCTCCTCATCCCAAGATCTACGCCCGGGAAGGCAACGACCCTTACTCGGTGCGGGTGGAGGATGGAGCAGGTGGTGGGACGCTCCCTCCTGGTCCAGCCAAGCAATACTACAAGGAGGAGAAGGATAGTGGTCCAGGTGCCGTCTGTAAGATGGAAGGTGAAGAGTCTGAAGAGGACTTGGACAGCCAAGGGTCATACAACCGGGAGCAGATCATCGTGGAGGTGAACCTCAACAACCAGACCCTCAATGTCTCCAAGGGCATGGAGGGGAAAGCAGCTGCTGGCGAGGCGGCTGTGATGGGGAGGCCTGATGGTGATGGGCGCGACACAGAGGAGGATGGGGAGGAGGAGAATGAGGAAGGGGAGGAAGAGGAAGAAGAGGAGGAGGATGCAGAGGTGGGTGAGGAGGAGGAGGAGGAGCACAGCGAGGAGGAAGACCTGGAGGAGACGACAGAAGAAGAGGATGATGATGACGATGATGAAGATGCGTTGGAGGTGAAAAGGGATAAGAGTGGGCAGCACCGCAGAGGCAGCCGGGTGTGCAAAGCCACCAAACCTGCCATGGCAACCAGGTCTCAGGACATGACCAAGGTGGAGGAGGAGGAGGAGGAAGAAGAGGAAGGCCAGCGAGGGAGGAAGAGGAAAAAGGAGCAGGACGGTTTGGGCCAGAAGGTGAAGCTGGAGGAGAAGCAGCACTACCCGTGCAAGAAGTGCCCCCGGGTCTTCAACAACCGCTGGTACCTGGAGAAGCACATGAACGTCACTCACAGCCGCATGCAGATCTGTGACAAGTGTGGCAAACGCTTCCTGCTGGAGAGTGAGCTGCTGCTGCATCACCAGACCGACTGCGAGAAGAACATCCAGGTGAGCCAACCCCAGCGAGGTCCCCCCAAGGGGGGAACATCCCATCAAGGGGTGGGGCATCCCATTGGGGATAGACATCCCACCCAGCAAGGTGGAGACATCCCACCAAAGGAGAGGCCACCATAGAATGGTTTGGGTTGGAAGGGACCTTAAAGATCATCCAGTTCCAACCCCCCTGCCATCAGCAGGGACACCTTCCACTAGACCAGGTTGCTCAAAGCCTCATCCAACATCCCACCCACCAATGTGGAGACATCCCACCAAAGGAGGAGCATCCTACCATGATGGGACATCCCACCCACCAAGATGGGGACATCCCACCATGATGGGGCATCCTACTGGGGATGGACATTCCACCCACCAGGGAGGACATCCCACCCAGCTACACCATGGGATGGGCTCATTCTCAAATGTTTAGATTAGATATTAGGAAGAAGTTCTTCACTGTGAGGGTGGTCAGACACTGGAACAGGTTGCCCGAGGAAGCTGTGGCTGCTCCTCCCTGGAAGTGTTCAAGGCCAGGTTGGATGAGGCTTTGAGCAACGTGGTCTAGTGGAAGGTGTCCCTGCTGATGGCAGGGGGGTTGGAACTGGATGATCTTGAAGGTCCTTCCAACCCAAACCATTCTGTGATTCTATGATTTCTGATGAAGCAGGTGGCACATGGCAGATGGGAGAGAACCTGGCTTCACCCATGACTCGTATTCAGGCTCAAGAAGATCCCATGGTGGCACAGGACCAGAGGTTTGGTGCTGAGGGACACTTGGCCAGCTGGATGGAAACATGAAACAATTTTTGAGGAGCAATTTTTCCTTGAATTGATTTGGTTAATCTGGATAAAACATTACAAGCTCCTGATGGAGACACGCTCCAGCCGTTCCCACCCAGCCTGGAACCAGTTTAGCTTCATTCAGAGATTTGCTGACACGAGTTTAAATGGTTTTAATCCGCTTTTTGTGCTCTTTGATTTGCATATTAGCAAATTTCCGAATGTATTTGACATCCGTGCAGGGCTCGGGCTCGGTGTGTCCCTCACCTAATGCTAACGAGGTCCTACATTTGCAAATTGACTCAGTGCAATTTTGGCGGGGGAGGTGGACATCCCATCAGAGCAGCAAATGTATGTTCCTGCAGATACCTCCAACCCACAGAATCACAGAGTTGCCTTGATTGGAAAAGACCTTTAAGATCATAGAATCATAGAGTGGTTTGGGTTGGAAGGGACCTTCAAGCTCATCCAGTCCCAACCCCCCTGCCATCAGCAGGGACACCTTCCACTAGACCAGGTTGCTCAAAGCCTCATCCAACCTGACCTTGAACATTTCCAGGGTGGAGCAGCCACAGCTTCTCTGGGCAACCTGTTCCAGTGATCATTGTGTCCCGTCTCTTAATCCCCAACGAGTGTTTTTGCACGACGCTGCTGCTACTAATTAAAATAAATACCAACTTCTGGAGAGCTTTGCCCATCATCCTTCCCACCAGCGATTGGATTTTAAATGATCTTGCAGCTCTCCTAGATGAAGATGGCACAACCCAAGTGCTACTGGAATCCTTCACTGATGGCACCTCAAATAAAATGGTGAATGGAGCAGATCTTGGTGTTAGAGTGTGTGGGGAATATGGAGGCAGGAGTGGTCTTGGCTTGAGCAGATGAAGAGCCACTGTCTTCACTGACCCTTTGGTGTATCTTCTTGAAAAATTCACACTTTTGAGGTTGCCTTTTTTTGGAATGTTTTTTCCCAGAACTGGGCAAGTGCAGCTCTGATACCTGCATGGTGGTGGCTGTTTTGGAACCTATTGTAAAGCCTTTGAAATTCCAAATGGGCTTTTCCAGAACATTTCTTCAACTTCGTCTTCTTTCCTGATGGATAACATGGGACTGTCACCTTCTTGCTTCTTTTTCCCCCCATTTTTAGCCCTTTTCCAGATCATTTCTGAAGAGGATGAACCACAACTGCCCGTGTGGTGACCTCCTTCCGTGGAAAACATGGTTCATTACCTCTCAGTTAGTTGAACATTTTTAATTTTACAAATAGCCAAATTCACGTCATTTGTTCTAATAACAGTTGGAAGGGACCCACAAGGATCACAGAATCA